CCCCAGCTGCAGCGGGAGCGGGAGCGCCGCTGGCTCCGGCTCATGGCGCTCGGTGGGCGGAGGCGGCAACCCCTCGGGGCGCTCATAACCCGCGCCAGCCCAAGCCCCACCCCCGCCCGCCCGTTGCCAGGCAATGTAGGGGGCGGGGCCGAGCTAGGCGCGGCCCCTGACGGAAGTGGGCGGGGCCATGTGGTGTGGAGCCCCCCGGGGTCGGGGAGTGCCAGGTGCAAGAGCTTGGTACTTGTGGCCTCATCCTGCTGGGGCTAGGGAGCTATGAAGGTCCCGAGCGGAGCAGCTGGGCGGGCTACCCTGCTCTCTCTGGGCCTGAGCTTCCCCAGCAGGCTCTGAGGGACCAGGCGGAAACGGGCCTAGCTCTCAGATGGATGTCTCCTCTGCCCACCCTCCTGTTAAACAGCCAATAAGAAGGGTGCTTGTACCCAAAATCTCGTAAGGAACATTTTTTTCCAGCTATTTAGTTGGTCTGATAAAAGCTAATGTCTCTACGCAAAGAATGGTGTCTGCCAATAATGACCAAAGTGGTCGTTTCTGCACTGACCGGCACAGAACCCTGGAAATACATGCTCCTTATCCCCGGGGTTTTAAATACTGTGCTTGCTTTTACTGTTTGGTGTCCGTCTGTGCAGCTGAATAGTCTTCCAAGGCAACAGCATCAATTCAACGTCAAAATGCTTCACTCGCCTAATAGAAGGAGCTTGCTCAGTTACTCCCTCAGCAACCAGAACTCAGCACAACTCAAGAGTGAAGGTGCATGAGCTTGCCTGGAACTCGCAGTAGCTATCAGGAAGGATCTGTCAGCAACTCCAGCTGTCTTCACTGCTCTGGGAATATCTGTTTACATAGCAGAGAGAGTAAATCGAGCAGGGGTAGGGAGTTCTACCCATTTAAAGCCTTAATTCTAGAGCAGGGAGCCTTGGGTGGGGAGTTATACCCCTGGTCACTGACTGGTTGCTTAGGGGGCATGTACCCCACCTGACTAAGGCAGTACCGGTTGTCCACGTTAGGGCTGAATTCAGCCTAGGGATATGTCTGGGGCAGATCTAAGTTATGCAGTTTTCTGTAAGCAGTGTAGTTCACATCGGTAGTGAACAGAATATACATTCACCCATAGGTAGGTGGGTGGGTGGGGAAATGGGACCAGGGACAAATCTAACTGGGTTCCACCATTTCTAAGCCAGTCTCTGTGCTCTGAACTTCTGTTATGGGTATAGATTGGTTTCCAATCACTTATACTGGTAAAAGTGTAATGCCTGTGGCCGACCTGATTGGTTAATCTGGCCTCTAAGAGGTCTTTTGTCTTATAAGGGAGATCATGTGAATGCAAAAATGGGGTCTGTGAAGACTGCCAATGTTAACTTTTTCTAAACTTTGTGACTTGATGGTATCATTACTGCTGTTCCAGACAGAAAAAAAACAGCAACTTTTTTTCTTAAATAGCAGCTTGTGGTAATTTTGTCATTACTGAATTTTGGCATTAGTTGATCTAATGACTTCTACACTTATACCAGGGGTTGGTAACATATGTCCATGTGCTGGATCTGGTGATTTCATCTGGCCTTTAAAGACAGGACATCGGTGACAATTTGGCAGCGGGGAAAGTGGCAACCAGGTTGGAAGTGCATTCATAGCAATTCAGCAGTAGGGGGAACAACGGCAGCCCCCACTCTCCTTGCTGTGATCTGCGCCAGTTTGGCCTGCTGCTTCCAGAGGGTTGCTGACCCCTGGCTTACACTATACTTTTAACAAATGAAAAGAAATTGCACCACAGCTTTGCTCTTAGTAAAAGAAAATAGCTTTGCTTGTACAGGATAAATTTGCTCATGCTAATGTCTCAAGCAGGCCTAAGGCCTCATAGTAGGACATTGCATTTGCCACAGAATAATGCATAGGAAAGCTTGTAAATACTTTC